TCATCTAAAAAAAAACAACAACTGGTGATATCAGTGACAGTTAATCAAAACAGTACATTTGCCGGAAGCAAAACCAAAACAATGAGCTGATAAATTATAAAACTCTCCATCGAGCTGAGAGGAACTGCAGCACTGGGCAATAGTTTTCTGTAGCTTCGACAAGTAGAAGAATGGAGAAAATAAAACACACAAAGTATAAAAAGCCCAAATTTAAGGCAGCAAGTTGTTATTAACTGTTACAGCCTAGAGATATTGGACCCCAAAGCAAAAGACTTAGAGAGAGAGATGGTCAAAAACAAAAAGTGTATTTTAAGCAGAGGCACAGTAAACGGCAGTGGAAGCAGGAAGCTGGCTGGCACGGAGACGTCAGGGACATGAGGCAAACATCCAGGCGAAGAGATCACAGGGACGAGGAGAGCAGCGAGAGACACCGTGAATGTGTTTAAGGTTTAATACCTAGTAGGAACTATCCATATTTATATCTTGAATGTTCAATTTGCTGCAATGAATTTGAAATGTTATCACTCACACATTTCATCCACTTCAAGCAGCCTAAGGTAAATCATTTTACATTCAGGTAAGATCGGAGTCAGCTGGATTTGAGAATGAATGCTTAAAGTTTTAAATTTTTAGTTGTATTACTTAAAACACAATTGTATTGTAAGTCTAAATTAAATGAAAGGGATATGACGGGGTTGGGCCTTTGCGCTCCTTTGATTTATTATGAGGACTTGACATGACAGATTTTGAAACCCTTATTCTCCGCTCAACTAACAGCAATCATACGAATCTGAAATTCTCACCCTCTTGCTTTATTTCTTGCCAAGTCTAATGCTCACATGCTCAGATAAGCAAAGAGAAAAAAGCTTGATGAGATTGTAACAAGGACAAAGCACACCAAAGGTTCACACTCAGATAAAAAAAAAAGGAGAAAAGATTCCAATTTCATGCCAGGCTATGGCAGAACTTTTTTGGATTCGTCCAAATTGACTGGATGGCAACACATTAATAAACCAATCCGTAGTTGAAAAATATGAGTACATTTTTCTTTGTCATTTCTGTGAAATGAAAGCTATAGAGTTCCATAAGATGAGATATTGATGTGCTGCTGCCCCTGTGCTCAGATCCTTCTGCCTCTGCGGAACAAATCAGCCTTTTCAATTCTGACTACATCCATGGCTATTGACCAACACAGAGAAAAAGTATTGGAGAGAATAATGACCCATACTGCCAGCCCATTGAGCTGCTCCAGGATTATAAGCATGGCGCCAGAGAGAGCCGGAGACTGGCGGGGATTGATGGAGGAAAAGGCTTTCCCTCTCGGTTTGGGAAAAACAAAAAAGACAAATGTGGTCATTTCACAAAGCCCTGAACAGACTCATGTCATTAAAAGTCGTCATTACAACTAGGTAATGTTGTTAGGTGATGCATTTCCAAAATGTCTGCATGACAAGAAGAATGCTGGGGGACTCTGAAATGCTGACAAAGTCCACCATTACTGACTAGACTGTACCTTGGATCACTTCACCATCCCGCAATCTCATTACACATCCAGACAGCCTCTGTTGGGAGGACTGGCAGCATCCCTCTTTTCAGATAATGCCTCTCTGCGTGACTAAACAAGGCTGGACTGGTGCTGCCATTCTTCAAAGTTTCCAGCTGCGGGAAAAGGACTTTGAGGGAATAATGCCAGTGGGTGCTGCGCTGCCTCTGCCTCTGCCTCTGAATGAAGCTGCAGGATCAACATAAGCTGCTGCAGACCCAGCCAGTGTTCTCCCAGGTGTTTTGGCTTGTGTTTATAACCGTAACATATTTTTCGTTAGAACAGGCAAAAAAGCCTAATTCAAAATGCCTTGTAATTATGTCTAGCAAAGGGTTATCTTATTGAGCATTACGTCAATCACAGTCGCAATTAATGGTTGGCCTTATCTCACCATACCTTCCAAAGTAATTGAATTTGTATTGATTTATTAATTTAAGAAAATACATTTTGAGACATTAAGAAAAATACATTTAATTTCCATGTAATAATAAAATAAATATAATTTCTATTTTATTCATTATTTATTGTTTCATTAATTTCTCTGAATTCTTGCTACTTTTTGTTTATGGCTAGCATATTTCCTATTTCAGATATCCAGAAATTGTCTTGAAAAGGTAATTTACTTGCTGCAGCGGAGTTGGGTGGCAAATGTCCAAGCTAACTGCTATGTGAGCAGTTTTGGATGCAAAATGAACACTTTGCATAAATCATTGGGCCACAACTCATTAAAATCAGTAACGCTGTGCTGTTGGCCAGTGTTGGGTTATCCCCCGGCCATTTTATGAAACTTAATGTTCCATTAGGAGTGCATCAATCAGGTTTTATATTATTTGAATGCCGATTAGTTCTTACAGAGCCACAGTACTGAGACCACTCTCTGAGAAATTATATTGAACAGACACAGGAGAGATCATCCTTTAAGAGACTGTCACACATTCGCCCCCTCTTTTCTCACAAACTCCTGTGAATGCCAGACTGACCGTGTTACCAACACCCCCCCGGGTTTGAGGGATATCTGATGAACACAAGCCCCTCGCCTGCTCTCCCACCAGAATATTAGTGCCATCTCGCTAACATCAAAGTTGTGGACACTAGGGTAAAACGCGTGCCATGTTTACCTACTGAGTGAGCTTCAGAATGTTTACACACCTTATACAGGAAACATTTTGACACATCAGAAAATGCCTGAGTCTATTTTCCCTCATATGACCCAGAAATATGAAAAAACACTTAAGGCAGCGGAAAGAGAAACCACAAGAGACTTGAGCCTTTGGAAAAAAGTTAAGCAAACTGCAAGTTCAGTAAGAGTGAGGTGGAATCTGATTAGATAACCGTGACACTGGTGAAAATGTTTTTTGAGGCGGTGTTCCTGAGGACAGAAAATCTCCCGCTGGAGGTCATATTTTAGCATATCGCATGGGTAATTGCTGCGCCATGTGACCTTAATTATTTGAATCTAAATAAACCTGTACAGGAGAAAAAAACTTTCCAGTGTTGCAAGCATTAGTCAACTATTGAATCACTTCCTCAAAACTGTCCTCTAAATGGAAATTGGAGGGAAATGCAAACGTCTCTTTGGTCGAAATCAACTATTCACAGTCATCTCTAGGGATGTGCAGGCCCTGGCAGTTGCCTAAGATCATTCCAAGTGTGTTTGGAATAGTTCAAGCTAAACCCTAAAGTTTAGTATAATGTGAGTAACATTCCGGGAAGAGTGTTGGGCAAACCCCCCCCCCCCCCC